TGATTGCTTCCTAACTCCCTTAACCCTTTCACTAAACCATCCCCTTGGGCAATGGTGGCAATTGGGTTGCTTTGTTCTTCCCGCTGTTAGTTCCATATTTCCTGTGATTCAAGATTCTTCAAGTGAATCTCTTGATAGATTTCCAAAATGAACAGTATAGGTGAAACTCGGCTCAAATGCCATCATTTCCCAAGTTCTGAAAAGCATTTCTTTCCCCAGAAAGGCTGGTGAAAGACTTAATGGGCTTCAGTTCAAAAGAGACATGTTCCTTTCCATACAACACATTTGGCCCATTGAAATGTCTGCCATTCTTTTCAGTTATATTGGCTGCATCTTTAGTACCAGTGAAATATAATAAAGATAGTCCCATTGCTTAAGTCCATAACGTTTTTAGAAATGGTATGGAAATGAACAGTTCCTAGGGTATCTAGATTTCATTCACAAGACTTTGATTCACATTTATAGTAATTTTTTACATGCTTCCCTTTCAATAATGCATGTTAGTCACTATTAAATTCATTTTGTTATGTTTCCAAAACGTGACTTCTATGTATAAAGTAAGTATCCCGAATTTTACAAATAAATTGTCAAGATAAAGGAGACACACTGAAATAGACTTGGTATTCTTTAAAAGTGCTTCAGTTCTCCTACCAGCCTAATAATGGTAATTTATAATGACCTTGACTTAATTGAAGCAGAGAGAAGATTTATCTTTCTTAATGTAAAGACTAAAACAGGAGTCAAGTAGTGGAGCCACGTGTTAAACAAACGATAGATACGCATGATGTAAAGATCTTAAAACATTCATAAGGGTCAAAGAAGAAAATAGTTACAGATCCTCTTTCTGTACTCTGTTTCAGAATTAGGGCTCTATGGTGTGTGCAGAGTTGCAATTTTATGTCCTTATTTTCATACACAGTGTCACATAATTAGTACTTTCATATCCATCACATATGTGAGAGCTCCACCAATAGTGTAGATACTTGTAATTCACATAAACACTTAAGTTCAGATTGTTATGTGGGATTTTTACCATTACAGATAAACAGGGTGAATATTCCTGGGTATAAATCATTTCTATTTCTCTAGGCTACTTCCTTAGAAATATACTGAGACATTACCTATAGAAAATGCTTACCTTCTTTGGGTAGTATGTGAGGATAGGTACTTTCTACATGCTCTCACTAAGCTAAGTACTCAGAAATTTTTTTGTTTGGTAGGTCTGAGTTTTTGCTTATTGTTGTCATTGCTTGATTGTTTTGCCAATACTTGGCTTCACTGTAGGCTTAACACTTGCATTTGGCTTGTTTAGTCGGGGCTGATGCTCTTCCACTTGAGCCATGCTTCCAGCCTGGCTTTTTGCTGGTTAATTGGATATGGAGTCTCTGTACCTTCCTGTCCAGGCTGACTTTGAACTTCAATCCACAGATCTCAGCTTCCTAAATAGCTAAGATTTACAGGTGTGAGCTACTAAAACTTAACAATCATTAAATGTTAGGTAAAATCTTAATTTCTGAATTTCTTTGTGAGGTTGGGTACATCCCCTGATTATTTATTATGCATATTCCTTTTAAGAGGCAGGCTATATTCCTTCCTTTTGCCCAGGTCTCTGTTGTAATTGTTAGTGTCATTCCTAGCTTTCCATGTTATATCTTCCAAATATGAGTTGTTTTCCATATGTGTTAGACAGGTTATCTTTTATATTTTGTTTCTGACATGTTATTCAGACTATGAATCAATGCCTTATTAGCTATTCAGATGCAAAAACAATGCCTTTGCAATATTCTGCTGATTTTTTTCCCTTTCTTTCCTCTTTATGTTTACAGGTCCTTTCAGATACTGACATAAAACATATGTCATTTTACTAAGTATTTTCCTTGGGCTTGTTTACAAATATATGGATAGATTGATTACAGGAACTTTTGACTGCATTCAGAACAACATTTTGGAGAGAGAGAGGGGGTGGGGAATATACTTGAGATTTGCTTTACTGCCCACCATTTATTGAAAAAGCATTCCCATGTCTGTCTTTCTAGTTACACATCTGTGCTTGTTTTACACCAATATTCAATATACTATATACAATATAATAATACACAATATAGTAGGCTCTTCTACTAGTTAACACATTGGTGACTTTATGACATATTTTCATTCAAGAAAACTAATAAACCGGACACATGTACAAACCTTTAATACTGTATCTCTGATATTCTAAATGGTGTCAAATACTCAAAACATGACCCAGAATTGAACATGTCCAAAACAATGGCCCTGGTAGCATGCTACTCATCTTGAAGTACTTTGTTTCTTTTGGGTATCTTCTAATGAAGAAGTATTTCTCTACTCCAAACACATCACAAAGTGCAAGGCCATCTAATGCCTTAATTCATTTTTGTATGTGTTTATTCAACATTCTCATGGTGATTGGAGGTACTCAATAAATATTTGCTGAATGGGAGAAGGAATGAAACATATTACTTAAATAGAGTGCTAGCAAAATGACTTGTTATTAATAACCACACTGGAATTTTTAGATGTGGCTGGTTCAGGAACAAATGTGGGCCTTTTATTCACAACAAAGCCAGGGAGATGAATAGCAGGCCCGTGTGATGTGTGATTTATTCCTATGTGCTAGTAGGAGATTTATAGGCATCCATTAACCTCCTCGAGTTCCAATTCTGTCTTAGGCTGGTCTTTTGTCATGATTAGCTATGTTGTCACTCCATGTTAAATAACACATTGTCTGAACTGAAATATGCAGGAAATATGAAGACAGAAAGCCAAAATTATCATACATGTACGCTGTTTCAGCTAAACCATAAATATATCTCTCCTTGTATGTATTACAAAAAGTAGATTTCCTTGTGCAAAAATTTACATACTTAGGCAAATACAAAGGATCACTTTTCTGAATCTGAGACCTAGGATTGTGGACTCTATTATTCCTTAAAGATATCTCTGTATTGAAATACTAACTTCCAATGCTTTATTATGTGATCATAATTAAAGATCTTCATGAGATAAAGAACTTTTGGGGGAGGTGTTTTCATGTTGTTTGATAGTGCTGAGGTCTCACATATATCTAAACTAGCACTCTGCCACTGACTGAGCTAGAACCATAGCTAAAATTAAGTGAATAAAAAGTTATTGATAGAATGGCTTGTAATTTAACAAGTGTGATGTCCATATAAGAAGAAATTAGAAAATAGGCCTTTAGAGAGAAGATGGAGGAACACATTGTAAGAAGACATAGTCCATAAGCAAAAAGAGAGGCCTCAGAAGAAGCAAACCCTACAGAAACCTTGGTCAAATTTTGTGAAAAATATTTCTTTGTTAATAATGGTAATTTATAATGACATGGTCTGTCCAACTTGGCTAAAGTAACTCTAGAATTTTAATACAAAGGAATGTGAAATATAAATACATATTTACAAATATAATACAATATATAAATGCAGCAGTTGACCCCAGAAATGGGAAAGAGCCAGGGAGAAGTGACACAGAAATAAATCCAGGGATAGCCATTTCTATTGCATCTGTTAAAGAAACTTTAACAAGTGTCTGCATACCTGAAAGACCTGAGACACATCACACCTTGAAAAGTCACCTCATTCATTTCCCTTAGGGTATTAAAGTGACCCGTATGTTGCCGTACAAGTGTCCTCAGAATTATGATAGCTACATACAAGAGAAGAGTGTGGTAAGGAGCCGTTTCTTTACCCTCTCAATCTCATCCTCAGTTCGCAGAGGATGGGGCAGAGAATCATGTGGGTAGAGTAAATGTAACAGCACGGCACAAGTCACATAAAAGCCTCACATCAAAGTGAGGAAGGCCATGTTCTATTCTGATACAGGACAGGTGGCCACTTTCATAAAGACAATACTCTTTATTATCATTTCCCAGTTCTTCTGGACCCATGTCTCTGTCCATGGTAGCCACACATCTCCCCTGTGGACTGAAAGCTGGCTCTTGAGTGGAGCTGGATTTGCGGTCATGTTGCTTGGACATCTGTGACCATAAGATGCCTTTCTCTGTACCATCTTAATGGAATAACATGGGAATAAAGTTTTATAATAGCAACCGGGAGGGGAAAGATTCATAATTTTCCATGCTTCGTGATTCAGAATAATTAATTTAATAACCATGTCACTTGAGAAGCGTAAATAAAGAGAAACAAGGGGGGTGTGCATATATATGATCACCGGAGCATATGCAATTGCAAGGGAAAACAAATTACCCAGCATAGTGCTTAAAATAAAAGCTTGGTGGGAAATATTTTTTTTTGAATGCTGATTTGATTCTCCTGTTGAGCCATGCAGCTGCAGTGTTTAAGAGTGCACTGCTTCACTATTTATCTGCATTTGCTTTTTAAAAAAATATTATTGAGAAGATCTATGACCTGATGTCTCAGAAAACCAATTAAACACCTTTCTGATCTCTACTGGGCATTTTCTGTTGCTAGTTCTCTCCCTAAACTCAAACAGCTCTGTGAATTCATTTCTGATGCCTTGCTGGAGGGTGCTCCATTGTGCAAGGTATTTTCAAAACTAGTATGGAATTAATAAAAGGAAACAGAATCAAAATGAAATGTTCTGCTGCCTGAACACAGTTAAGTCTGTGGGGTTTGCTTCACACTAAACACTCAGACTCCAGACTTCAGATGAGCAGTTTCCTTCTCTTATCACAGTTCTTAGATCTGCAGGAAAGGCTAATTTCTGAGGAAAAAAAATACAAGCCTAAGTCCATGTCATATATTCATGTTTCTAAAGTGAGTAATTATTTCCCTTAAACTGGCAGACCTAAGAGTAAATCTTCATTGATTTGGTGAGGTAAAACACAGTCCTCATCTAGTTCAGGTTTCCTGATATGCTCACGAAGTATCAGTCTCATGGCTTGCACATTAAGACTCGCTTCTCTGTCCATTAGACATCAAGACTCCATGCACCCACGCATGGAGCTTTCCCAGTGCTTTCACACCTGCCCCACAGTGTCTTACCGACAGTGCTTATGGGATCCCGTCAGAGTCTCGATCACAAAGCACTCTCCATCGTTGAGGCAGTAGGCAAGGTCCTTATCTCGGCAAGGTTTGAAGTGCTCTGATCGCTCCGTGGAATATGTTGTGGTATCTGTCAAGGAGAACAAGAGAGATACTACATTCAACAGGCATTCCAACACCCCTGTCACGGGTCCTAATAGACATGAGAGGCCCTCCATGTCATTGACCGGCAAAACTAGGAATGCCCATGGCGTTCAGTTATTTGCCAATCAAACCTCCAAAGGCACAGACAGGCTCTGCATCCTGGGGTCTAATTAATATCATGTGGAAAATATTCAAAATAAAATAAATTGCAGCTGTACTCAACTTACATATACTGTTGCTCTCTGGTCACTGTCCTTGAAATAACAGGATATAACAACTAGTAGGATGGTATATGCATTTTAGAGATTATAGGTATCCTAGACATGAATTAAGGGTATTATAGCAGGACATTATGCAAATATCAAAGCATGTCATGTGAGAAACAAGGAGGCTAGCAAAAGGTGGTCTGTACACACACACACACACACACACACACACACACACACACATACACACTGTATTTTAACAAATTAGAATCACTCTAGAACAGCTCCAACTGAGCTCACACTAGTTGTAAACCTTCAGTGATCACTCAGATGTCTCAACTCTACTTTCCTTAATTTCAGAGATTTTTATTTTATTTTATTTTTTGTCTGTCCTGGTGCTTGAACCCAGACCCAGGGCCAGTCCCTGAACTTTATTGCTCAAAGCTAGTATTCTACCACTTGAGCCATAGCTCCATTTCTGGCTTTTTGGTGATTAATTGGAAATAAGAGTCTCATAGACTTTCCTGCCTGGGCTGGCTTTAAACCACAATCCTCAGATCTCAGCCTTCTAAGTAGCTAAGATTACAGGCGTGAACCTTTTGCAGCTGACTTAATTTCAGTTTTAGCCAACACGTGTGTATTGCCAACACCCAGGCACCATTCTCTTCCCTTTTTGTTTCCAAATGCAGTTAAACATCTAATTGACTTATACTGTGATTGTTCTATGATGCCCCATGTCAGATTTGGATTTTTTTTTTAAATTACAGCTATAATTGGTTAATAACCAAGTCAAGTATTTGTTCACTTTCTCCTTTTATTATGTAATTAAAATGCAAATGTTCCAGATTCTGAAACACATATTCACATGTGAAGAATGTTTCTGGTAAATATTTAACAGGGCCAAATTATTATCATTTTTTAGCATTCTCGTTAAACATGTATTTTTTTAATCATAATGTCTTACACTTCTAATTAAGCCAGACATCTATGTCTGGTTATCCAAAATATGAAACTAACCATAAATACGAGCTATCTATAAGACACAGACTCGTAGCACATGTGCAGAATTTTCTAGTTTATGCAACTAAAATATAAAAAGCAATTCTCCAACAAAAAGTACACTGAAAAAGTCAAGGATGAATCAATTATTCAGTAGGTAAACTATTTTAATTTTTTTCAGAGATCTAGATTAGTCATGATGTTCCACAGAATGTCATTTTTGTTTAGCTTTTTGTTTTTGTTAGTTTGTTTGTTTTTGTTTTGTGCCAGTCCTAGTGCTTAAACTCATGTATGGGTGAAATCCCTGAGCTTTTTGGCTCAAGGCTGGTGCTCTACCATTTAAGCTAGAGCTCTACTTCCAGCTTTATGGCTGTTAATTGGTGATAAGAGTCTCATGGACTTTCCTGACTGAGCTGGCTTCAAACCTTGATCCTCCTGCATCAGCCTCCCCACAGTGCCTCTTGTTGGACACATGATGCACTGAACGCTGAAATGGTTCACACTCAAGTTTACCAGTCCTTTATTCTGTGACTGCCTTGAGGCCTAATCATAATTAGTCCACAAGAAAAACACTGTTGATAAATCCAGCCTTATCTAACGTTATCTGCCATTTAAATATTATGATAGGGAAACAGGATCATTGAACACCACATTACAATCTCACCAATAGTTGATATTTCTTTTATAAAAGAAGGTAACATTTTACATTAATTTTACTATGTATTTTAGTATTTATGAATATTTAAAACACAAGCCAGGTGCTGGTGGCTCCCATCTGTAATTATAATGACCTAGGAGGCTTGAGATCTGAGTATTGTGAATTGTAACCAACCAAGACCGGAAAGTCCATGAGATTCTTATCTTCAATTAAGCACCACAAAGCTAGAAGTAGAGCTGTGGTTCCAGTGGCAGAGAGCCAGCCTTGAGCACAAAAGCTAAAGGACTGTGCAAAGCCCTAGGTTCAACCTTAGTACTGGCACAAGTAAATAAATAACATTTCTTCAAATTCACATAGACTTTCATCCATATATAACTAATTCACTAAGATATTGACAAATAATTGTATGGGTATCCCCTTTTTTGGTGTCACAATGGGAAATTGATATTTCTCCTTTCAATGAGTCAGCCTGTTAATACTTCAGCAAAAATAAACACTCAGCAAAACACATTTCTCCTTTTCCAGGAGATCTTCTACATAGCTGAGATTTGTTATTCAAAGCCACATGTTATAAGTAGCTATAGGAAATTTTTAACATTCAAGAGCTCTGAGCAAAGAATCTCAATATGAAATGCTGCTCCTCTGACTGGTGAAGTATATTAACTCAATAACCAGTTACTTAACTTTTCCTTTAATTTCTCCTTTATCCATGTATTGATATTCACTGATCATTCCTCAAAGAGCTGCTTTTCATTAACATAACCTACAGCATAAAAAGTTAGATCCTTATTTCATAATCAGTGGTTTTTCAACAAGCTACAGACTCCTAGTGCAATACAATAGCAAAGCAATTACAATCAATTAATTTCTATCTGACAATTGATGTCTCCTGTGGCTCTGGCCCTTTTTGATCAACATCCTCCCAACATATTGTCCTTTCAAAGCATAGTACAGAGAATCAGAGAGCTGAGAAAATAATTCTGAAGAAAGTCTTAGGCGAAGCTAAGAGATCAGCTTTAACATAAATTCAGTTTCTGTCTCCACAGCTGAGAAGAATCTAAAAATTAATTTAAAATAGGTAAGTCTAAATTTCAAAATGTCTAGACTGGTTTCAAAGACAACCTCATTATTAGTATTGTACAGGACTTAGTAATCAGTGACCAAATGTCAGATTTTTATCATCCTGTAAGCAAATGACAAGAATCAGGAAGTGTAAAATCTCAGCATATAGCTAAACATTTGGCTAGATGGTATACAGATAGTACAACTCACCTACAATCACAAAGGTTTGGGGTAAAGTATTATATTCTTCATGGTAAAATCAAAGTCAGTTCTTCATAATCATCACAACAAAGATGTAGACAGAAAGAAATGAATCTCCAGACTGTTGTACTAAAATTAAGACCAATTACCCAAGACTTTTGTGTCACAAATAGTATATTACGTCTAAGTTAGTGTTGGCCAGGCTTTCCATTATTTGCATCAACAATAGCCGAATAAAGACTGGTATGCTTGTATGATAGGATACAATATTTGTTCATCTGCTTATAAGTGTATGTACATAGTTCCTTCTTTTTGTATAAATGTCTTTACTTTTATAAACACAAAATATACTATAAAAATGCATTTAAAAGGATTTAAAACAAGATTAAAAATCTAATATAAGTTGCAATTCTTTGTATTTTTTTTTATGCTCTAAGTTCACACAGCATTTTCGAATATGCCTAGCTGAGCATTTGGTTCTGAAAGGAGGCATGGTACATTTGTATAAAAGAGATGATAGATAAAAGATTGGATCCAAACTATTAAACATATGACCCTAAACGACTTAGGGGTATCTTAGTGATCAGATATAGAATTCTCAATTTATAAATACGTTTCAATAAATCTTTTATCTCTCTTTAGTTGGCATGTAGGAGCTCGTGCCTGGACTAAATATGTCATATTCTTAAAATTTGGGCCTGAGGCCTAATCCTTTAGTTTCTTTAAGGATGGCTTAACATACAGAATACCCAGTAGATGTTTTAGAATGATAATGTCTTTATAAATGAATGTTTTCCTAAATGTCTGTGTTGAAAAGTATGTATACATATGTTCTCATCTTATTGTGAAATATACCCTCTTTTTAAAGAAGTTTGGAAAATTAATTAAGAGGTCAGAACAAGAGAATTACTGTAAAAAACAGTTTATCTAAAATAACAAGAATTTTAGATAACCCAGATGCCCCTCAGTAGATGAATGGATCAAGAAAATGTGGTATATATACACAATGGAATTCTATGCCTCCATCAGAAAGAATGACATTGCCCCATTTGTTAGGAAATGGAAAGACTTGGAAAAAATTATATTAAGTGAAGTAAGGCAGGCCCAAAGGAACATAGGTCCTATGGTTTCCCTTATTTGCAATATCTAGTATAGGTATGAGTCAAGCAGTAAGGGTCAGATAATGTGAACTGAACTAGGCCCTGAGAGGAGACTGGAGCTGGGACAGCTTCTTTACAGATTTTGTTTTTGTTTTAGGGATTATAGAAAAAAAAAAAAAACCTTGGCTCCAACCAGCCCAGTTCTTGAAATGAAAAGAATGCCTCTAGGTCCCCCTCCCCTTAACTTAACCCACCTTCATTGTTTTGTTAAAGACTGACCGATTAAACCGGTAGCCAGTAATCTGGCTTATGCTGGCATGCTGGCTTGCCACATCCCGAGTTTACTATAAACTCCGCCTTTTTCACATGTATGTTAAACTCCCTTTACCATTGAATTCCTGAGTCATTTGAACCCAAAATGATAGGCTGGTTTAAACAGACATTATGTGACAAAGTGTAACCTCACTGGCCACCTGCGTGTGGTCTGGTATGCCTGTGCAATCTTTTGGGTGTGTGAAAATCTCATTGGTCACCTACCTGACCAGGCTTCACCTTGTGATTTTTGCCAATAAAAACCTAAGCACGTGGGCCGCTCGGGGTCGCAGTATCAGCTCCCGAGCCTGTGCTGCGGCCCTGGCCGATCAGTGTAGGAACTTTCTCAATAAAGTTGCTTCTTTAATATCAACTTTGTTGGTGGGCTCTGTCACTCCGGACGACTAGGTGGGTTTGCCTGTCTGAGTAGGGGTCTTCCTACTACAGA